GGGGGGGGGGTCAAAATAATCTGGAGTGCCTACAAGCATTCAATTTCTATTGTTTACCGTTTGTCGTTATTTATCGTATTCTGTGATTTCTAAGGCTCGGCAATTCGGCATGGGATTTCTTGGGGGCTAACTTTTGTTGCAGGGATTTTTGGGGGGTTTTTATATTTGTCTCCATTCGATCAAATTTGGAGGTTCCCTCCCCGCTGAGGCCCATAAATTCACACTTTATTGCTCAAAAAGGTTTCTGCAGAATGAGCGTTGCTTGAAGGCACGACACACAAAAAGGCTGCTATCTGGTGCAAACCAGATAGCAGCCTTTAACCCCAGTAGACTCCCGGTAACTCGAACCTTCAAGGGTAATCGAAAACTGAAAAGTTGATTCCAGTAATTATAAGTGGGAGCTCCAGAAACTAGTCGGGAGTCAGGAAAAAATTATTTACAGCACACTAAACTACTAAACAGTGTTATCACCTTGAAATGTAGAAATGTTGGTAGGAATTAAAAGATACTATCACAACGGAACGTAAGAAAGCATTGCCTAAATATAGCATGCGTTTAATTACTGGTATGAGAAGTAAGCTGTTTCACGTTAGATTTGTGACAAAGAACATCAGCCTCCTCTAGTAAACTATATCACTAGTATCTAACGGGGCATTTTTTCCACTCGCCCGGAGCTAAATGTTAGTCGCCTCAGGCGACCGGGCGCCGTTAGAGTACAGCCTTGAATTTTCAAAGGTGTCAGTTTTGTTGAATATATCGATTGCCTACCGAAGACCAAATATCATCGACTGCCTTCGCTAGGAAAATACTTTGCGCAATTTGAACTCATCAATATGCACAGGTATTCCGAACGTTTGTGGATTCCTTTTCTTATGTTACATCTGAGCCGCAGATAAATAAGAAAAATGCGATCAGAATAAAATCGCGGCTTTCATTTTGGCATTCAAGCTAGGAACAGATTATTAACTCACCAAATAGGGCACAAGTAAGCTGGGTCAGGCTGCTGGACGAAGGAGTCGGGATGGTGACCGACTTGAATCATCCTTCTCAAACTCATTAATAATTCATTAAGAAAATACAAAGGAAATTTAATGTTTAATGAGTGTTTGGAAATCGGATGAAACACTGCTTAGTATTTGCATCCTTAATTTCTCCTTCAAAAATGATCTTGTTTGAGAAGAAATATCAAACATTCGACACAGTGTTTCATCACCAGATGAAACACCTCGAAGTTCGTCAAAAATACTCCGCTGCGCGTCGTATTTTTCAACTCTCTTCTCGGTGTTTCATCTGGTGATGAAACACTGCATCTCATGTTTGATATATTACTCCCCCCCCCCCCCTCCCGCCGCCCCCGCCCCGGCCCGCTTTCTTTTATTTTGTCAATGAACACTCCTTGTATTTTATAGCCGATGTCCGTGTAATGTTCTGTTTATCTTATAGATACTGATGATATTCCTACATAAAACACTACTTTCTTTTTTCATTCATTTTCGAAACAGCAAAATAGTGCAATTAAAGTGGTCAACTATTGCACAATGCCTGTCACAGAAATGTTACGAAACTCGGATATAAAGTTATAAAGGAGAAATAAAGACAAAGATACTTATATTTCCTGTTCCAAAAGGTCAAAATTCTAATGAAGAATGGCTATTCTAATGAAGAATGGCTAATCATGTTAGTAACCATGGCGACGCCAATATCCTCACACGTGAAAGATAAAAATAGTATCTTCATTGCGCGCGATGAAGATATGATTTTTTAGTAAATGGAAAAATCCTGGTATTTCATCAGTATCTATATTATAAGTGAGAATACAACAATGTTTTGGAAAATTATAAAAGTGTTTGGATTTTGTGCCGTTTGGTCTGTAGTAGGGTATGGGTATCAAGGGGACCCCTAGACTACGAACAGTTTCTGTCTTTTTCTTGAACGTTGAGTGTCAGATACTGAACAAAGTAAATGCGTTCGCGAATCGAGTATAACTTTCAGAAGCCAGGTCTGAGAATGACGGGTGTTGAAAATTACATATTTTGGTCTGAAATAGGATCAGGATTTGGAGAACCGGGCGGTATACACTTCCACCGATATTTCTGAAGAATTCCGGGGTGTTCCTGAACCCAGCCTACTTAGACGAGAATGGAGCCCTTCCTACTCAAGTAAATAACTGGTAGCTTATTTGAATAGTAAGGGTTCCATTCACGTCTAAATAACGGCTCCTGACCTCGTCAAGGGGGAGGAAATCCTCCCAGCCTAGCGGTGCGGATTGAAGGAGCCACCTCGGTGAAGACGATCGGCGGGCGAAGGCGTCACTTCCTTGGCGGAGGGTTATGCTGGTGGGTGAGAAAAAAAAATAGTTATTTTTATCCTTATTTTTCAAATAATCGATCTTAAATTTTACAAAATGTCACAGTAGATTGAATATTTACCTTAAGTTGAGGAACACGGGATCCGTTTCTGCGTTTTAAAAGAAAAACCCTTGTTCCCGGCAGTGGACATCTTGGGCACTATAATCGCCCTGAATTGGCCTGCGAACAAAGGGCTCTTTATGCCCACTGCCCGGCCCACGGAGTTTGACTGCTCCTCGAAACCCGTGATGTTCCATTGGAACGTCGCCACTCTTCCCGGAGTCATGGGTGGTGTCACCTGAAGTGTAGTGGATAAAATGTTCATTTTAGCCCGCGAGCAAGCTCTCCTGCCTTTCCGATCCTCTGCCCCTCGCGGCTTCGCCGCTCGCTCGCACGTTCTCGCGAAAATCGCTTCGCTTGTCCAAATAGGAGAGCTTGCTCGCAGGCTATGTTCATTTACACCCTCAGTTGTAAACACTATGTGTGAAACTATTGCGGTTAAATAATTTGTGGCAATCAAATATTTCTTTTGCTATTACTTACTTCGTTTAACTGGTTCGCCCTCCTTTCTGCGAGCAGCAGCTGCAAGTGGCTCGGCGCGTTATCTGCCTCATGTCTCGCTTGATCCTCTCTTCGCAAGACATCGTTGCACACCGGGAATGGACAGGTAACGAATGCGCGGGTACATGCGGAGGCAATGTGCCTGTTTAATTGGTCCCTGGAAGAGAGAATTTCCTTTTCTTTACGCCTTTTGTCTTCGTGTTGTTGTTTCAGGTTAGAGATATAAAGTTTTAAGTAAATTAATTAATATTAACAATATTTGACAGGGCTTTTTGCGCCTAATAGTAGGAGAGATTGCATGAGACTAGTACTTACCGGGGTATGGAAACCAGATTGCAATTGAACGGGCACATTACAGGGGCCTTCCGACATGCCAGCTCCTGGTGGTCGTGGTACTGCCGGAAGGGCAGCGTAACTCCGCAGTACCCGCAAACTTGGGGACGCATTTCGCATTCGCCGGCGTGCCTTTGCATCTCACAGCGAGGGAACGTCTGTGAACAGCCACGGTGGGTGCATTGGACGGGCTCGTGGAGGCATTGCTGCTGATGACCGGAGATCTTCTCTAGTGCGCCCGTCCAATTACACCCGTCCATTCTTCTTGAACAGTAAACTTCAAGGGAATCGACTACCCTGTCGAAAGTAATTATGCCTCTGACGTCAGAGGCTTGGAGGGGCTGCCTTCCGACAGGGCAGTTTGGGTGTCCATGCGCATTTATCCAATGTCGCAGGAAGGTACGGCAGAAGAGGTGGCCCTCGTTGCATGCCACAGCTTGACGTATAACGTATTGACTGTAAGGGAAAGAGAAGGACATAATTTGTACAGTACTCCGGATGTCAAGTGATAGGGAAGATGAAGGCTTTCTTTGAGTTTGAAATTTTCGAATCCAGGATTTTTTTTGGGGGGGGGGGGGGG